CCATTGGGTTTTGTGCTGGCAAACTACTCCTGGGCATGGGCTTATCCTTTGCGGAAGTTTTGGCAGTGGGTGCCAATTGTATATGTAGTTTTTTGCCAGGCAGAATTAAACATTTTTTATATAGTCAGATGTATGTTTTTTTTATGGTCTCTGGGTTTGGTCCTGATCAGAAATGCTTCTGCCACTCTGAGAATGGACATAAATGTATCTGCCCTGATTTCCTCAAGTTACTGACCTCATGATATCCATCAGATCACTTTGTTATTAAAACCTCCCAGTGACTGTCATTAGCTTTAGACTAATACCCACTCTCCCGAGGTTGGCCTCCAAGGCCACAAATAAACTCCTGCTTTGTCTCCTGTCCCACCACACTGTCCCTTTGATGATGCCTCTTCACTTGCACTGTTGGGACCCTGTGGTGTAGAGATTCCTCAGACAAGCCACATTCACACCCATCTTCTGGCTTTCTCACTTGCTGCTCATGGCTCTGCAGGAGACACGCCCCTCCTTTTTATTTGAGTGACTTTCTCTAGAGTGTCCTTGCTCACCCCCTTCCTCAGCAGGTCAGTCTCTAGAAAGTGCTCTGAGGTTATCCACAGAAGCAGGGAGCTCCTGGGCCATGTCCCTGCCAATTCTCCAGACACTTGGTTAATGCTAGTAAATGACATGCTTAGGGCACAGAGACTATATGTGCACACCATGCATATGTGTGTGTGTGTGTGTGTGTGTGTGTGTGTGCATGCATGTGCACCTATGCATGTGTGTGCATGTGTGTGCATGTGTGCATGCATGTGCACACAACACTGCGTAGCTGTGTCTTGGGTATAGTGTGGGCTGTTTATGAAGGTAGGTTGTTTTGTTTTAGACAGCATCTCACTCTGTAGTTCAGGCTGGACTGTAACTCACGGTAGTCCTCCTGCCTCACAGCCTCTAGCTCTGGGAGTGCTACCACACCTAGCCATGTATGTGGACGCTGCATGTGAAGGTGTGGGATTGTGGAGTTGGTGGTGTGGTCTGGGGCTTGTGTGCCCCTGTGGCTGCATGAGGTGGTGGTGCAGAATCCTGTCTGTGGTGCAGCCGGTTACTCTTCTGAGGTGACCAGGTGTTTTTGCCATATGGGTTCTGTTATTCTGACCCCACTAAGTCTGGTTCTTCCTCTTGACACCTGATAGTTACCCCCACCCCCACCCCAATTGGCCTTTGCCTCATCTAGAGTGAGCTGGCAGAGTTCACCATTCCCATGGAGAAGTTCTTGAGGGCCTTGTGGCCTTGCTATCCCACCCTAAATTTTCTGCTTCTTGAGTTGGGTACTGTGTGGGAGGCCATGTAGGCCATCCCCCTGCCTCAGGGCAAGGCTGGGTTGCGCCAGGGCTTGGCAGCCACCTTCTGCCACCCCCATACCCCTCAGGCCCTTCACCTGGCATCTGGGGGTGGTAGGCCCAAAGTCACTGCTCTGATTCTAGCCCAGGCCCTGCCTGGCCCTCCTCCCAGGTCACTCCCTCTGTCTAGAGCTGTGTCCAAGCCTCAAGCAAGGGCTTCTTGGGTAGTGCCAGGCCTTCCTTCCCAGGCTGGAGCTGCTCTGGTGTTGGTGTATGCTCAGAGATTTTCTCATGCCTTGAGCGGAGGGGTGGGGCTGGGCAAAGACACTGGGGGGTAGGGTGGGTCCTTTTGAGGACAGGGCTTTCTGGCTGTGTTTGAGCAAGAGGCCATGCGCCTGACCCAGCTGGTGTTCTATATTGCTTGGGAGACACTCAGAGTTGCTTAGACCTTCTGCACACATCCCTTTACTTTCCAGTAGAGCGAATGCCTGTCTTCCTTGATTTGCTATCAGGATTCAGCCACTGTGTGTGTAAACATTTCTGCCCACCTATCCAGGATATGGCTCCACTTCCTCTCATCAACTTTTTTTTTTTTTTTTTTTTTTTTTAAAAGGTCTCATCATGTAGCCCTGGCTGGTCTGAAACTTACCATGTAGACCAGGCTAGCCTCACACTAATAGAGATCTGCCTGCCCCTGCCTCCTGTGTGTTGGGTTAAAGGCATGGGCCACTATACCAGGCCTTGCTCTTGGCTTCTTTTTGCTTGTTTGTTTTGTGACAGAATCCCCCCATGTAGCCCAGATTGGCCGTGAACCCCTAACCCCCCTTTCTCTGCTCCCCAAACTTAAGATTACAGGTGTTTGCCACCATACCCATAACCTTTGATAATTTATTGAATGTTCCTCATTGCAGTAGACCTAGAATTTCTACAACTTTGAAAACAAACAAAACAAAAACCCAATATGTGTGTGTGTGTGTGTGTGTGTGTGTGTGTGTGTGTGTGTGTATGTATGTGCTCATGGGTGCAGACCCCCGTGGAGACCAGAAGAGGGCATTGGATCCCCTGGAGATGGAGTTACAGGTGGTTGTGAGACACCTGATGTGGGTGCTGGGACCCAACTCTGGTTCTCTCCAAGAGCACCAAGTGCTCTTTAACCACTAAGCCATCTCTCTGGCGCTCACCAGTTTTTAAATTTTCTTAAAAATGAGATTTATTTATTACTATGTGTCTATGTATATGGGTGCACGTGCTACTGTGTGCATGAGAAGGTCAGAAGACAACTTGGGAGAGTCAGTTCTCTCCTTCCATCGTGTAGGTCCTGGGGTTCGAACTCAGGAGGTCAAGCTTGGTTACAAGCATTCTTACCCACTGAGCCATCTCATTGGCCCTCCAGCTTCAAAACAAAATAAGAGGGGCCACTGAGATGCCTCAGTGGGTAAAGGTGCTAGCTACACAAGCTTGGCAATCTGAGTTTCATTCCAGAAACCCATATAAAGGTGGAAGGAGAGAGCTTTCCCAAATTGTTCTCGAACTTCTGTTTGTGCTCTGTGGTGTATACACACACACACACACACACACACACACACACACACACACAAATAAAATAAAATAAAAAATAAAAATAAAAAATAAAAAGAACATACTTTGGTTGATTATAATCCTTTGAGCATTTGCTTAATTTCTTTTCCACCCTTCTATGGAAAAGTTCTTTTGAATGTGATGGCTCATTCCTAGCCTATGGGAGGCCAAGGCTGGAGAGCAGCCTGGGTTACATGGTGAGTTCCAGGAAAGCCTGGGCTATAGAGTGGGACTCTACCTCAAAAAAAAAAAAAAAATAAAAAGGTGTAATACAATATAATCCAATATGACTAAAAGAACAAAGAAAATTGCTTTTATTCGCTCTTAAAATTATCTTAATTAGGCTTTTGTTCCCATATTTTACCCACACAGTTTTTGTCCAGGTCCCTACAGTAAACCCCATGGCTGAAACTCCCTCCCTGCATCACTGAGGGAAGTTGGCTCCTTTCTCCTTGATACACTGGGCTCCCTTGCTTCTGGGATATCACACTCCTCTGACTTTCTTCTTGTCGGGGCTCTTTCAGCCTCCTTTGTGGTCCCCCAGCTCTCCCTGAGGCATTGAGGTGCCAGAGGTTTGGTCCCCCGACCTCTTACTGTCTCTGTCTGCCCTCTCACTTAGTGGAACCATCCAACCCTCAGGGGTTACAATCCAAACATTCGGGCTGAGGAGACCGCTCAGTCGGCAAACTGCTTGCTCTGCAAGTCTGAGAGCCAGAGTTTGATTTCGGGAACTCACGTAAGAAAGCTGGGCGTGGGGCTGGTGAGATGGCTGGGCAGTAAAAGCGCTTGACACATACGCTTGACACCCCGAGTTCAGCCTCAAGAAGTTATGTCAAAACATGGTGGTGTAACTCTAAAACTTGCATGGCAAGATGGGAGGCGAAGACAGCAAATCACGCAGAAGCTTAAGGTCAGTTCACCGGGAGTACACAGTGCAGCAGGAAGAAGAGACCTAGCAAGGTGAAAGGAGACCTGGCTCCTGAAAGCTGTGCCCTGACTTCCACGGGTTCACCGTGACACACAGGCGCCTTCACTCACACACACTCTCTCTGACACACACAGAAGATAATGACGACAATGATGGTGACCATAACAAAGGCCAGATGTGGTGGTGCGCGTTTGTGCTCTCAATCTTGTGGAGACAGAGACTGGTACATCCCTGGGGCTGCTGGCTGGCCAGGCAACCTGGTTAAATTAGTGAGTTCCAGAACAGTGAGAGACCCTGTCTCAAAGTACAAGGTGGTCAGTGTCCTGAGGAATGACACTCAAGGTTGACCTCTGGCCTCCAGATGTGTGCGTGCCCACCCACATGCACACATCCACTCACACCAAATCTGAAAATCAAGGTAGGAGGTATGGTGGCTGGTGGCTGTTTCCCAGCTTCTTGGATGTAGAAGCAGGGGAATTTAGATTTTTTTTTTTTCAAGTCAGGGTTTCTTTGTGCAACAACCCTGGCTGTTCTGGAACTCCTGATCACTTTGTAGATCAGGCTGGCCTTGAACTCACGGAGATCCACCTGTCTCTGCCTTCTGAGTGCTGGGATTAAAGGTATGCGCCACCACCGCCTGGCTGAGGATTTAGTTTTAAGTCCAGCCTGGGCAATATACAAGACTTCATGTTAAGGTAAGAATAAAAACATCAAACATAGGTTGACAACTTATGATTTCCTCCCCCAGCCCAAACTATTTCTCTGGATGCTTAGAAATTTCAAACACATTATCCCAAGTTAAGCTCGCTCGCTCGCTTGCTTGCTTGCTCGCTCGCTCGCTCACTTTCTTTCTTTCTTTTTCTTTTCTTTTCCCTTCTCC